CCCCGGGGCCACCACTCTTCCGGCTCCCTTCACAACGTCGTGTCCGTCCCATTGGTCCCGGGACGGCCACGTGGGGCCCGGGTTAGCGTGAGAAACCACCACGGTCCCTGCTGGGTTCTTGCCACCGGCAGAAGGGTCTCCCCGTGGCCTCTGCCCGGCGGGACGGCTTGCGGACCCCGTGCTCAGGTGGGTCACCAGCTGCGAGCCCCACCCATGGACGAAGTCCGAACTCCGAGCCCAGGGGCCAGCGACGGTGGTGTCCCCGCCAATGTCACCTACTGCCTGTTTTGGGCATGAAATTTTGTTGGTGCTCATCTGTCCACGGCCGCTTGCTGTGGCAGAGAACACGGCTCCCTCTAAGCCCAAGACATTGTGTGGCCCTCCGCAGAGAAGTCTATGCCTGTTTTCAGGCAATCATGATTTTACCGATGGGACCGTGTCCCGAGAGGCCGGACCACCGCAGGAGGCCCGGGAAACCACTTCCAAGGCGGGTGGCGTGTGGGGTTGGCCGTGGGCCCCAGGCCACAGGGGCTCCGCCCGCCCTCCTGCACAAGTGATTACAGCCTCCTCAACCTCCCCTCTGGAGTATAGTGGATATTTACCTTTTGTCCCGTACCGTGCACCTTACAGTTCGTTTAAACTTATTTCCATAAGTGATGGTTTAATTTCCATGAGAAAAAAGGGGGCGTCTTTGTCCAGATGGATTTTATATTCTGTCTGCATCACGGGTATCAATTTTTCACGCAATGCAATAAAATGGGTTCCAAACTTTGCTTGTTTTCTAATTTACGTGTTACTGCGGGGAGGGGGGTGGTCAAAGCTTTTACAAAATTCTCAGATTTTTTGCTTTTAAAAACATGTTTGATAACGGATCACTGGTTCAGACAGCAAGGCCGTGCGGGTCCCGTGGGGAGCTCCGCGGCAGGGGCTTCACGAGACCTCGGGGTGGCCTGGGGACCCTCTGTGGGCACCGCAAAGCCATCTGCTCACCGGATCCCCACCTCCTGCCCCCTTGCCGTCCCTGTTCTGACCTTCACTTTCCAGCCCCGAGCCCTGTGCCCTCACCCGCCCGGTGCAGAGGTGAGAGTCACAGTGGAGCCCCAGCAGCGCCGTGTCAGCAGAGGCCATTTCCTGGGCTGTGAAATAGACTCTCCATTCGGGGAACCAGGATATGCTCTTACGAGGTCCTGCTTCCTCAGAGGTTTTCCTTCCCGAGGACTTTTCGGGTGAATGTTTTTCTTCATATTCTAGGCCCGAAGCTTTGAGAGGAGGCAGTGATGCTCTCCAGGGAACGAACTTGTCCCTCAGGTGCTGGGGGAGAGGTGGCCCTTGGCCAGCGTGGCTTCTGGGACCCCCAAACTCACCCCCCGCCCTCTTTGCTACCTCCCCCATGATAGCCTATTCTTTTTTTATAAATACGTTGTTTAAATTTTTTTAGTGTTTATTTATTTTTGAGAGAGAGAGACAGACAGAGACAGAGTGAGCAGGGGAGGGGCAGAGAGAGAGGGAGACACAGAGTCCCAAGCAGGCTCCAGGCTCCGAGTGGTCAGCACAGGGCCCGATGTGGGGCTCGAACTCATGAACTACGAGATCATGACCTGAGCTGAAATCGGATGCTTAACCGACTGAGCCATCCAGGAGCCCCCATGACAGCCTCTTCTGAGGCGTGGAAATAATATCAGTCATTTGTACTTCAGTGAGAATTAGGACTAAAATTTCAAGCCAGAAGTTTCCACCCTGCCTTGTTACAGCAAGTGTTGTATGGTGCGTCTTTGCTATCCTGAAATGAATCTCACAGCTAAAAGAACTTATCTGCACAGTTTAAAAATCAGCACAGCGTCCTAAGTGTTGTATGAAGAAGAAGAATTTTGGAGCAAACCATTTAACGTGAAAAGGATTATCCGCAGCTGCCCAAGAGGTCCTGCTATTGGCTGCTGTTTTCTGAGGAAGTAACGTAGGCCGAAAATAAGTAACATGACATTCAACTGAATGTCGTCAATGCTTTTTTATTTCTACTTCACGTCTTGAAATGAGGGATAAAGGAGTATCTTTATAAAAGTACACAGAACCGCAGCAAAACGCAATCACCCCAGACGCAACCCCGTGGGATGTGTGACCGAAGAGCCTCGCACGGTCCAGAAATGAGGAGGAACTTTGGCTGGGGAGACAGGGTCCTGATTTGCTTCATGAGCTCAAGACACGAAAACTGTGCAGAAAACGCTCTTGTGTTTCGGAATGGACCGCTTCCCCGGAGTTGGGGCCCGGTGGGGGGGGGG